TTACAATTGAGATATGTGTATGCATCTTGTTCTCTAGCCACCAGAAAGCTGCAGTGACTGACTCCACCTCCATCGTCAGGCTAGATGTTGTGTTATCGTATGCTAGGCTGTCCTGTACTACATATTTTCTTTTGGCTTTCCCTATGAACCCCCAGGCACTTCAATCCCTCTCTTAAACACCTGGTCGAATGTAATCATGACTCTACATAGGCCAGACTGTTCCTCTGTACTCTGACCTACTCCTCTCCTCGCCCGATGTTTTCCAGCATGCATACATTTCTTATTGTGTCTTCTGCTTGAGCCATCCCCGATTTTCCTCTTTTCAGTCTCCGACCCTTAACTGCAACCAAAGCTTCATATAGAGGGCGCCTTGGTCTGTAGCCCCTTTAGTCTATCTGCAATAGTTGGCAATGCAAGGATGTATCGCATTCACACAATCAGGGTGTCTCTTGTACATCCCAGGATCACCCGCATAGTTTTATATGCGCTCGAGTTTCACAAGCTGATTCTTTGAGGCAGTGAGTAACCCAAGTCCATGATAATCACTGAGATGATTAAGTGCTGGTAAAGTGTGAATAGCATTCTCTACTCCATGTCCATTTCTGCCATAATCTTTAGTGCATTAGGACCTTTTTTACAGCCTTTGTCACAACCTTCTCTATGTGATCCTTGAAAGACAAGCTTCTGTTCCTGCCATTCATTTTGAGGCTTGGAACATCTGCTCTAACAATCCTGTTCTCCAAAGAACACCACAGGACCATTGCCTTTCTAGTTTGATTACAACATTCATTTCTGTCTACCAGTCAATTACATTTTCTACTGTCGCCAGCAACTCTTCAGTTATTTTATTCCTATCACTCCCCTTCTTATGTACAAGAACATCATTTGCAAATGTAACTATTCTGTCAACTCCAGATATTTACAGGTTCGCAGTCTCACTCGTAAAAATATTGAACAGTAGAGGTGAATTTGCAGATCCCTGTGGTAGTCCTGGGGCTATAATACGTGTTGCGCCCAAAGATGCAGATATAAAGTTAACTGTAAACCACAACATAACATGGCAACCACATGTTCAGTTAAGGAAAAATGCAGAAGAAAATAATCACACACAAAAACGGAAAGAATGAGCTATGTGTTAACTCTCAATGGAAAGTATATCATCGTGTAGCACATCATCATGTAGCACATCATAATGTAGCACACCATCATGTAGCACATCATCATGTAGCATATCATATCATCATGTAGCAAATCATAATGTAGCACATCATCATGTAGCATATCATATCATCATGTAGCACATCATAATGTAGCACATCATCATGTAGCACATCATCATGTAGCATATCATATCATCATGTAGCACATCATAATGTAGCACATCATCATGTAGCACATCATAATGTAGCACACCAACATGTAGCACATCATAATGTAGCACACCATCATGTAGCACATCATAATGTAGCACATCATAATGTAGCACACCATCATGTAGCACATCATAATGTAGCACACCATCATGTAGCACATCATAATGTAGCACACCATCATGTAGCACATCATCATGTAGCACATCATCATGTAGCATATCATATCATGTAGCATTTCATATCATCATGTAGCATTTCATATCATCATGTAGCACATCATCATGTAGCATTTCATATCATCATGTAGCACATCATCATGTAGCATATCATATCATCATGTAGCACATCATCATGTAGCATATCATCATGTAGCATATCATCATGTAGGATATCATCATGTAGCATATCATCATGTAGCACATCATCATGTAGCATATCATCATGTAGCACATCATATCATCATGTAGCATATCATATCATCATGTAGCATATCATCATGTAGCATATCATATCATCATGTAGCATATCATCATGTAGCACATCATCATGTAGCATATCATCATGTAGCATATCATCATGTAGGATATCATCATGTAGCATTTCATATCATCATGTAGCACATCACCATGTAGCATATCATAATGTAGCACATCATCATGTAGCATATCATCATGTAGCACATCATCATGTAGGATATCATCATGTAGCAAGTCCTTTACACAATGTCGCTCTCATCACAGTCTGCCTGAAAGAAAAATCGGTCTCTTTCCGGCTCTCCTGCCTTGTGTACCTTCATATTCAAGGAGTCACTTATATCATGTGCCCATCCTCATGTTGGTCAGCCCCTGCCCCTCTTTCCAGGTACCAAGTCTTCTGATTCAATTGTTTACACGTTCAAACATAAACGATCAGCTGTTCCCAAACTTATGAAGCCTACGACCTCCTTTTGAGAAAAACTAAATATAGAGTACCCTTCTTGAGATACAGCTCTAAGTGAAGAAAAAGAAAAAATATAGCAACAAATTTACAATCTTTTATCCATCTATGCATTTTTATATATCTCACAACACATTAAAGACAGATGTTTCTGTAAATAAGACATCTTAAAATTTGAAATTGTAAAATCATGTTTTGAAAAAAAAAAAAATCAGCTATAGTAACATGTTCATTACCCACATGACATCATGATTATGAAGGTTAACATGAAATAAATTCATTATACACAAATCTGCTTCACATTTTCATGACAGTAAAAACACAGAGGCCTTTTTTGCCTGTAAACAGATCAAGCAGTTTCAATAATTTTAAGAAGCCTGATTGTTTCTGGATGTTTTGTTTGTTGTTTGTCCATCAAAAACCAAGGAAGACCCCTCATGATCCAGTGAGATTCAATGTGAACACATTCAATGTTGTGAGTATAAATGTGTGTGTGATGAGGCTGGTGTGTGTGATGAGGCTGGTGTGTGTGATGAGGCTGGTGTGTGTGATGAGGCAGGTGTCTACTCAGAATGTACTTGGGAAATAGTAGTAGCAATTCCCACAAAATATCCTGTTTAACCCAAAGGGTCATAATTAGGGTATCATTTTTTCTTGGAAAGTGTGGACTGTAGATGGTAAACATATAAGAAAATGAGTTTGCCACACAGTTTTCTAGCTTGCCTACATTGCTGACTCCATTCTTCTTCTTCTTCCTGTTTACTGGCTGTAAACTCCAGAAGAAAGTTATGGTTGTTCATCCACTCTGGACTTCAGTCTTGTTCCAAAACCCCCAGACTGGCTGGCTCTGCACCACTTGGTGGTGAATTGATGTTACATATTGTGAGGGCCCTTTGGGAACTGGTGAACAGTGCGGAGGCACAGATGGATCATAAAGGTTTATTAAGGAGAATGGCCCTGTGAGGAGTTTCCAGGGGATCTGCCCGACGCTCAACACTCAGGCGAAGGATGAGATGGATATACATTCAGACGCTTACTGGCACCATCGGAATTGGAACTCTTCTCTTGCTGCTGAAAATGGGGACTGAGCACTTTTGGGAGTGTCCCGAGTGCTGTAATGTCGATTCTTAATTCAACATTTACGTTTATTCAGAATAATACAACAAACTAACAATATAACTGGCAAAATGTAATATATTCATTATGAAAAACATGCAGTAATTTTGCAGAAATGTTAATATACTAATTGTGTTTGAACATACACATTTTCAATGATTAGCTTAATCTGTATTAAAATGATCTGATATATGGACGCACCTTTTAAGACTTACATTTTTCAGTTGCATGCCTAAATGCCACCTCCAGTGAAGTATGCTATACTTAAAGCTATGACTTTCTTTATATGACAAGAGCAGCAATTCTAGAGGTCACCCAGAAAGAATATGGATTGATGACATTACCACATCAAGCAAGCATAAACTATGACTTTCTTTTTATTACTACAATATTAATTTTAGCAAGAGTTCACCCACGAAGAATATGGATTGACAACACTGCCATCTCAAGTATAATTAAACTATGACTTTCTTCATCTTACATTAGTAATTTTAACAAGAGGTCACCCATGAAGAAGATGCATTCATGACAAGTGAAGCCCGCTATATTTAAAACTATGACTTTCTTTATCTGACAAGAGTAGCAATTTTATCAAGAGGTCAGCCACAAAAAATATGGACTGACAACATTACCACCTCAAGTGAAGCCCGGTATACTTAAACTATGAAGGACAATGAACAAAGAAGAGTTAAACTTTGACTTTTCTGATATTAAAACCAGTAATTTTAGCAAGAGGTCACCTAGGAGGATGACAGCCTGAAAAAATTACCACCTCAAGTGAAGCATGCTATACTCAAACTATGATTTTCCTCATTTTACAGCAGCAGTAATTTGTAGCAAGAGGTCAACCAGGAGGAAGATGGACTGACGACATTTACTCTTTTAGTACCAAACAATGGACCATACACATATTGTTATTTTAAACGTGGCATATATTCCTGACTTTCATGTGCTCTTTTCTTCTGTTAACAATAATCTATTCTATTAAAATAGGTTTTTTTTAAACCCCTTCTATGGAATTTTTTTCACCTGTCAGATACATAAGTACACATGTTCAACACATAAAATATACAGGTAACAAGTGCCTGAGATTAGAAGAGTTAAAGATACTGTACTTTCACACAGACTAACAACAGCCAGTGCCACCCATTAAGCATTAGACCAATTATTTCTTCCTACAATACTTGCATTTTCTGTCTGTTCTTTTGTTGGGGGGGGGGGGGGGGGGGGAGGGGGTTATGAGAAGGAATGGACTTCAGAACTTAGTGATAAGTGGCAAGATGAATGGGGAAAGAAAAAATGAAAAAGCCAAAAAAAAAAAAAACCATCCAAAAAATGGGTGAAACAGGAGCAGTGACCTAATAAGTGAATCTGATGATAATGAGATGTCCTATACTTACTGGCTTGGCAAATGATGATCATGATGACAACGCTTGAAAATAAAACTGGAAGGGGATGCTACTGATGAAGATGATGATGATGATGACAGTGCTTGAAAATAAAACTGGAAGGAGACGATGATGATGATGAGCATTTTAGCAACTCAAGGATACATGTGTAATATGTATTTCTGTGTCAGTCCACCTCTTCATATCTAGCTCTCTTTGTTACTGTGTCATGATCGTTGTCTTCATCCATATCGGACAAGTTTGAAACATTGATGGAGTGTTGGCCAGTAATGACATCCATGGGCACACTCTCTGCATGCCCCCACACAGCTTCCTTGTTGTTCATCAGACCCACACTTTGATAGATCAGACATGAAACAAAGCAGAATTAGTAACTTTTCATCTAAAGCCAATATTTAAACATTCCTCTTCTTCTTCTTTAGCATTCCGAGCCCTTGAGGTTCATTGCTGCAGATATCACCCGCCTCCATTCATCTCTCTGGTTGGCCTTCTCTTTTCAGTTGGTGACATCAAGTGTTTGTAGGTCTGTCTGGATATTATCTCTAGTATTGAGTATTGAGTAGGGACCCCCTCCTCCCCCCACCCAAAAAAAAAAAGGGGGAGTAAAACTCAGGGCAGAAGAGAGAGGGAAGAAAGATGAAGACAGAGATACACCAGTGAGAGAGATAGAAGGAGAATATATCAGATAAAAAGTAATAAAATAAAATTAAACTGAATATTTGGAAAAAATATTAACAGGCCAAAAAAAAAAAAATAGAGGCCGTTCAAAAGAATTTAAAAGGAGGATGGTCATAGCAATGCAAAGTTTAAATAAATAAGAGGACTCTTTTCCATTCCCTTAGGTGTAATATATATTGTCCTAACCTATATTTTATAGACCAACTGGTACTCGGTGGGTGATGTGTTCAACATCATGCCGGCTGTCTTTACTTCCCAGGATTTTACCAGGTATCTATTTTAGGTTGGTTCAACCTAGGGTAAAAAGTAAAGTGAAGGACCCTTTTCCACGCCATCAGGCGTATAGGGCATATAGGGCTAGACCTATATTTTTATAGACCAATCGGCACAAGATGGGTGATGTGGTCAGCATCACGCCGGCCGCCTTTACTTTTCCAGGACTGCACCCGATACCCACTCAAGGCTGGGTCGGCCTGGGAGCCAAGGTAATTTTTGAAAAAAGTCAGGCTCCGGGTCAACCTAGGAGTGAAGGTTATTTTTGAAGAAAAAAAAATCTGGCAATATGGCTTGACACAGATTTCTTCTTCTTAGGGTTCACCGGCTGTAAACTCGTCAAATTCTTGATTTTTGGTTGTGTTCCAAAACTTGAGTTATGCATGCCTATCCATTTTACAGATCTGGCTGTTTTGTAAGCTTTTTCCTTGCTTGTCATGCAGATGCACTCTAACTTTGAAGAAAGGCAACCTTTATGACACGCTTATGGGGGTGGGGAGCAAAGTCTACCAAAGTCCAGAAGTGGATGAACAATCAAAACTTTCCGCCAGTGAATGCTAAGAAGAAGTACTGAAAACAGCTAACATTCCAACCTACCAAATAAATAAGACATCATCAAACCAACAGCTAATGTGGGACGCAAATTTTCTTTATATTAAAGCCCCACCATGGCTGTAGTTGGGAGCCCTAATATAACCTAACAGTTGCACAGTTTCTGGGACTTGTGCATGAGTTGTCATCATCAGAATGGTGGCACTTTGTGTCACCAGGTGTTGATGGCTCGCTGTTAGGTCCTGGTGGGGTTAAACGACACACCAATAGCTTCACAGACTGACCACAAAGAAAAAGAAAAATAAACAAGCCTATCTCAAGATTTTAAAAATTAAACAAATTTCATAATGCTACCAGGCCCAGCATAGAAATATTAACAAAATATATCTCCACGCAAGTCACAGCAAGCTCCAGTGTACCAAGAGGTGAGGAAAAGATGCTGGGCGTTGGATAGGACACACGTTAAGAAATCAGGAGAACAGCATAACTAGAATGTCTTTGGATTGGAACCCACAGGGGTATAGGAATAAAGGAAGGGCAAAAAACACATGGAGAAGAGAGCTGGAGAATGAAGTTAGAAAGGTGGGGAAGACATAGGGAGACCACCATGTACTAGCGGAGAATAGAACAACTTGGCGTGAGTTGGTTGAGGGCCTATGCTCCTTTGGGGGATAGAAAAGCAGAAGAAGAAGAAGATGACCCAGCTCCAGCAGTAAGGCCAAACAGATCTACGGAAACTCCCTTTTTGTTAGGCTGGTCCATGGCCGGTCTGTGCTTATCATTGTTATCAAGTAAATGTATGATACACAAATTCAACTACAGTTTAATTAACTTGCAACATATTTTATTGAATATTTTATTATTATTATTATTCTATTTTCTAATGAGATGTGGTTTTACAGAAGAATGCTTAGAATACCTTGGACAGCCAAAAAGAGCATCCAAGAGGTTTTGAAAGAGGTGAGAGCCCGAAGACAACTTATCACAGACATCAGAAGGAGACAGTCATCATTTTTCGGCCATGTTATGAGAAGAGGGAAAATAGAACATGTTGTGACCACTGGAAAGATCTGTGGAAGGAGGGATAGAGGAAGACAACGAGAGAAGTTGCTTGACAGTCTTGCTGCATGGCATGGAAGAGTGTCGGTACATGAACTGATACATCTGCAGGAGATCGCAGCGATTATGGAGAGGCATGATCGCCCATGCCAGTCGGCAAGGCACCTGATGATGATGATGATTTTCTAATGGCTTATTTATTCATCTTCACAATGATAATTCACTCAATAAAATATGTTGCAAGTTAATTAAACTGTAGTTTAATCTGTGTATAAATTTACTCAATAACAAAGGTGAGTAAAGACCTGCCTAACAAAACGGGAATTTCTGTAGACCTGTTCGGCCTCAATACTGGAGCTGGCCGTGGCAGTGGTATATAAGGAGGACTAAGAAGAAATAGAAGGCTAGTCAAGTTCAAATAGAAGGCGAATACTTAATAACCACAAGTATCAAAGCAGATCTTCTTACCTAGCAGCCTCACTTTCAATACTGGCCAGGACTTCTGAAAAAGTCTGCACCACAAATCTGGCATTGTCTATGGTAAAACAGAGTGGTGGAAGCAGCACAATCACATTCTTGTCTGGTCCTTCAATGCCAACAATGATTTTCTTCTCTTTCATTCTTAAGTAGTGGGAAACATACACAAGAGAGAACAACTTAAAACTGTGTATATCGTAGACAGAGACAATGTTAGTAAGGACAGATACATTAAAAAGGCATTGCTATATAATTTATTTAACATTAACCAGTGTTTACACAACACTTCACTTACCCATGCCCATTTATTTTTCATCTTGTGAACAGTGTCTATGCTAAACAGAGCCAGTTTTAACATATAGATGTGAATCCTTTACAATTAATAAACAGGTCAAACAATTTTTCAAAGCCTCAGAAATGTAGTTTTGTAGAATAATTGTAAAACTGCCCAGTAAGATCACAAACAGTCAAAACTGGGGCTGCTTCTGCAACCTTCTGTAAAAGACATGCTACTAAATTTTTATAGACCCTAGTACTAATTATGGCCTGAAGAGAATGAGGCATCTGGGTGTAACCAGAGGGTCTGGCTGGCTCACTACACTCAGAGGAAAGGCAGGATGAAAATATAAGCAGATTGTGACCAGTACCATCAGTATTGGAACTCAGCGCTGGCTGCTGAAGATGAGGAGGGAGCATGCACGGGAACAGCCCCAGTGCTGTGATGTCAATTCTTGATTCAACACAGACCCTAGTACTACAGAGACCCCATGCCTGCCTACAGCTGTCTGATTAAAGTAATAGCGTATGGCAGTCGTTTCCTTCTGGGGTCCGTGGAATAAATTTTAGGTGAATGTGATTTCATTTTAAAAAAATAACAAGCACTTTAGAATGCAGTCTGTACTGGGAAAACTAACCTGGGCAACAAATGTGTTAGCCAAAAGGCACAAATATTACAGCTAAATTGTAAATGGGCACATGGATAAAAGAAAAGGATTTAAAAAAAAAAAAAAAAAAAAAAAATTTTTTTTTTCGGTTCTAATACAGTAAAAGCTTGTTAACATGAATTTCCAAAGGACTTAAATATCAAGTGTTTAAAAAAAATGTGCTAACTTGGGACTAACAATGACCCATCCTTGCTGAAAGCAAAATCTTCTTCATGTTAACCGAGTGCTTGGCTTAAGCGAGTTCACTTTAACGAGGTTTCACTGTAGTTAGAAATTATAAGTTCTTCAGTTTAAAAGGGTACTATACGAGGTCTGTGGCAGACCTTTGAAAAATTAGAGGAGTCCACAGGTTTTAGCTAAGTGGGATCCACTAGCTTAGTGGATGGGACTTTTATTTGTTAACCCTTTTGTTGCATGAATGCTTCAAAAATGGGCTATAAAGCCATGGTAATTGCCAAAAATATACTGAAAAACAAAACAACACAGGTCATTCATAAATAAAAAATATATATATATATATATATATATATATATATTAATGTACTGAAATTTTTTTGTTTGAGGGGGGGGGGGGGGGGGGGATATATAAAGACAAATATAAAGGTAGTGATCAATAACTATGAACAGTGTGAAGCATTAAATAGAATACATTTTTGGAGCCTACACAAATATGCATCGGGAGACTTATGCCGTGACTTCTAACACTGATGCAACGGGAAAATTAAGACGTCAACAAGGTTTTAATTTAGCTACTTGGTTCACAAGAAAACTCCCTCAATGCAGTTTTTAGTAAATATATCCTGATAAATTAAACGCTGAGCAGGCAGGAAAACAGCCAACTGCATTAATTAAGGGTCTCGTAAACATGCCAATTTCAAAAAGTCGGTTAAAACTGTTGCCCTGTAAAGCAGCAAAACTGACACTTCTGCTTGGGTCCAATTCCCTGAGAGAGTCACTTTTCTGACTTGGCTACAGGGGCCTATTCATGAGATGCCTAATTAACAGCACTGTTATCTCTTGTGCCTGCATATATGTTTAGGAGGATTAGTTACTAAAAACTGCATTTAAGAGGTTTTCTTTGGAGAGAAAAAAAATGGCTTTAAAAATAAAGTTATAGGTTTTAATTTTCCCACTGGTCACAGTGTTAACCTGCGACCAGTTTGGTCATAGGTAAAAGGGAGTCACCGTACAATTTTATTTTTAAACTCACAGAGATGTGACCCAGTTAATTCTCTTCTTCACTCATACTTACTGTTGACTTTCCATATTCTGTATGGTATTTATTATCATTTTCGTCAATAAATGAAACCATTATATAATAGTGACCTGCATAAAATGTTTCTTATTTTAAAGGATTTGTCTGGAGTTCCCTAATTACAGGTCAATGGCAATGTATTTTCCAGTTCATCAGGGTGAATGGGTTACCAGGAATAAGACCCAACCAGAAGTGTCAGTTCTGCAGCTTCTCGGGGCACCAGGGTAAATAATTTTAGACCAAAACATTTATATACTGAAGTAATTTCGTATGACAGAATCAATTACACAAACGCCCGCCAGGCATCAAAGAGTTAAAGTCACCTACCTGTAGGCAAGTATTTGACCTACCTGTAGGCAAGTATTTCACTTACCTGTAGGCGAGTATTTAACCTACCTGTAGGCAAGTATTTCACCTACCTGTAGGCGAGTATTTCACCTACCTGTAGGCGAGTATTTCACCTACCTGTAGGCAAGTATTTCTGCTGTCTCTGTGGCTGGCTTCTGATTTTCTCTGTCCATAACAAGCTCAATGCCAACCATCATACCAACACCCCTGGAAGTGGTCAATTAAAAGATTTGAAAGGGCCCTGTTCATGTCTTTGGCACATCAGGCACAGTCAAAATCATCATCACCATTGCCCTACTGTGCCATTATATGAAACCTGAAGCTCCCAGCCTATTCATCCATTCTGTTCTATTCTGTGCAATCACTTCAAAATCATAGATGGAATCCAGAAATCCAGACCAGGTCCTTTGGCTCCTCTCATCATCTCCTCAGGGTTTCTTTTGGACGTCCTTGTTCCTCAATTTCTTATTTCAGTGCCTGTTTGGTGATACTCTGTATGTTCTCCGTTAACCCTGTCAACAAATGCTCGATGAAGTCAGATGTGTTGGCCAAAAGGTACACAAATTGCAGCGTTTCTGTAATTAGGCACTATGGAATTATGTCACTCGGATGAACAAAAAGAAAAAGGAGAAGAATGTGTCCAATGTAAAGTATCTTCTCTGTTTTATAACTGCTGATACTAATGCTTGCCCAGACATTTCTCACATAGTGCTATACCAGTGGTTCTTAACCTGTGGGTTGTTGTGACCCCTTAGGGGGTCGAACGACCCTTTCGCAGAGGGTCCCTTAAGACAATCGAAAACCAGATATTCACTGAAGTTATGAAGTAGCATCAAAAATAATGTTATGGTTTGGGGTCACCATAACATGGCAAACTGTATTAAAGGGTTGTGGTATTAGGAAGGTTGAGAACCAATGATACTTATATTTTTATAGACCAAATCTGCACTCGACGGGTATTGTGGTCAGCGTCCCACCTGCCACCTTTATTTCCCATGACATTTTCCAGTGCCAATTTAAGGCTGGGAAGACAGGGAAGCCAAAGTCAATTTTAAAACCAAAAAAATACCCCCTGATGTGGATTTCAACCATGGCCAAGGGGTGAATTACTGTGATACAACTTCCACATATGTAAATTGGCAAGCAAAAGTATTCAAAAAATAATATTTAATACACAAAGGTTAGTGGTAAAACAAAAACAGTCTATCAAGTTTCAACATGTCTGTAATTTGATAACATATTTTACCAAACAAAGTCACAGGAACAAGAATAAATGAACAATGGAGATAAAAAGAAAAAAAAAAGGAGCTAAAAAATTAATCCAATCTCTCAAGGTGAACTCCAGTAGAAAATGTGGATTTAGTCAGTACTTTACACAAAGATAGAGAAACAAATAAAGATTTGAAAATGTGAATACAAAAAGCAAACAGGAAAAAGCAAATTAGGAAATCTGTTGCAGTAAGATGAAATAAGAAAAACAGTATCAACCATAGAATATTTAACTCTACGGTCAGATCAGTACTGCTGATCCCTGTGTGGGTTCCAGGATCCTATTATAGGGAAAACAAGAACAGACCCACTGCCTACCCAAAAGCATGTCATAAGAGTAGACTAACTGGGAGCTTCCTTCAAAGTCAGAGTGCATCTGCCTGAGAGGCAAGGAACCAGGAGTCTGCATACAAATGAGTCAGATCTGTAAAACGGATGCACACGTAGCACTCAGGGTCTGGAACAGGACTGCAGTCCAGAAATGGATGAACAACCAGACCTTTCTACTGGAGTTTACAGCAGGTAAACGCAAAGAAGAAGAAGTACTGCTAAATGATTTAGAAATAGACCCACTATCACCTTAACAAGCATGTCATAAAAGGCAACTAAAAAGAGGGGATTACTTTGAAATCCAAGTGCATCTGCCTGAGAGGTGAGGAACCAACAGTCTGCACACAGATCTGTGTAAGGCAGACCTGTGAAATAGTTGTGCATGCAAAATTCAAGTTCTGCAAGGAAACCAAAGTGACGAACAACCAGGACATTCCGCTGGAATTTAGCCGGTGAACTCTACGAACAAGAACAAGAAGGAATTAAACTGTATGACAGAATCACTAATGCAGTGCTACTTCACAGAATAACAATTCCAGTGAACCAACAGGCGAGGAGAAGATGCTGGTGATGAACTGTTGCTTCAATCGATAATGAATAGCAATTCTAGTGGCAGAATATTTGTGCTGGCACTTCTGATGGCTGCGTAATTGCGTTTAACGCATGCGTATGCTACTGACTTTGTCAAAACTGCAGTCTGACTCAAGTATTTCACAAAGGAAGCGATGGGCATTCCGTATGGTAGTCATTGGCAAGGAGCAGAGCATCTTTGGAGTGACCCAACTGAAGTAAGAACTGTGACTAATTTACTAATTAGCTATACATAGTTATGAGACAACTTATTTATTTGTTGCTGGTGCCACATAGTTCATGCCTTGTACCGAGTCCATCCTTGTGTGAGAAGACTTGGGAATTTATATACAATGAAAATTACCTTTCGAAAACAAACCAGGGAATAGATATTTAATGTATTTAGTGGGTACTTTCAAATCTTAATAATTTCAAGCTTAAAAATACTAACCAAACATGAACCTAAAAGGAAATAAAAGACACATAAATCTAACCTGACATCACCAATCATGGGATGCTTGGGCCTGATTTCGTTGAATCCATCCTTTAAACATTTGCCGACATTTTTAGCACTTGATAGGAGTTTCTCATTTTCAATGACCTCTAGTACAGCTCTGCCGATTGCACAGGCTAGCGGGTTACCTCCAAACTCATAACAAAAAAATGCAATAAAAATGATGAAAGTAGGGGGGCGACTGCAGTCAAGTGGTATAAATAAATTCAATGGACACAATCTAGGAAAAAGTAAACGATCCTAGCCTGGCCTAGTTTCAGGGTTACTGTATAACAGCCGGGGTTGGGGAGGACCACACAGACACAAGCGAAGGCTTCAGCTAACACATCCCAACAGTTTCTGCCTTGGCCTTCCTAATTGAAGTTTGCGTTCAGTGAATTCTTGTAATTCAATTGGTGACTAACAAGGTCAAAATGTTTTAAAGTAAACATGTCAAAACATAACGACCCCTTGTTCATATCTTGCGGCATTCTGGGCGTATGGTGCTATTTGTGACTATTTTTTTAATTACAGACCAAATAGCTTTCAGTGAGTTGTGTAGTTATTACTACATCAGTCACCTTTACTTCCCAGAACATTTCCTGATCCCCATTTTGGGCTGGAGCAACCCGTAGGTCTAGGTCAAATTAAAATATAAATCTCCTCTCAACAGTAACTGACCACATGATAAACAAGCCCGAATGCAGGCACCGCCCCGCACCGTCCCGGCCACATTTTTCTACTTTAAGCATTATTATCCCATTGTGGCCATTACATATTACATAGGGCCCTAGTTCAGCCATGCCATTCTGTTCCATTCTGAGCAATCCATTTGACACCATTGATGGAATTAAGTTCAGCATTTTTAGCCCCTCTCAATAATGTTTGTTGTAAGGTTTCTTTTGAGCATCCTTGTCTGCTCAATCCATTAGTTTCCTATTTCAGTGCCTGAGTAACATCTGAGATAGAAAAGACTCACCTAACAGAAGGAAGGGACAGCCTATTCTAGGGTTACAATGTTTGAATCCTGATGAGCTAAAATAATGCAACAATTGAACCAGATATGTCAAAGTGACAACTGAGATAGAAAAGACTCACCTAACAGAAGAAAGTGACAGACAGAATTTAGAAATCCAAGTCTGATACAAAACAACCTAATAAACACACAGGGTGCATTTTCTGGCACTGACACAGTTAATGAACACAAAATTAGTTAACTCACTGTGCTGGAGAAGATGCTCAAACTGTCGGCTATATCTTTGGTGGTAACAACAGCAGATAGTGGGTAGCCATTACCTATTGGTTTTCCAATAGTGACTATGTCAGGAACAACATCTGTGTCAATACAGGATATATAACAGAATATTTTGTCATGTTTGTGCAACAGTTATAAGAAAAAGAAGATGGAAGATGGTGCTGCAGTGGCAAACAAATGAACTGAGAAAACAAGAATGTTTCCAGAAAAACACTGATTTGATCATTGGTGAGATAAGCCGAAAGTGCTGTTGTTCTTCTTCTTCTTCTTTGCATTCGCAAACTATAAACTCTGGTGGCCAGTTCTAGTTGCTTTTTACTTCTGGACTTTATAGTCTTTTTTCAGAACATGAGTTCTGCATGCACATCTGTTTTACAGATCTAACTTATTTGTAAGCAAACTTATGGTTCCTCACCTCACAGGCAGATGCACTTCAACTTCGTAGAAAACACCCATTATCCCCCCCCCCCCCTTTCTAAAATTAGGCTCTGGATGTTGAAGTGCTTGATTTGATTCCATCCATGTTATCAAAAGAACTTCACAGGACAAAATGGAATGAATGACTAGACAGCAAGATCTATGTGTTACATATAATGGCACAACAGGATGATGATGATGTGTTAATGTACTCTGTAAAAATACAAACAATCAGGTTGTCAGTCAGGATTCCAGCTTCATCACAACAAGGGTCATCCCATAATTTCTTCCTTCTTGTACCGAAGAAAACCATTTCAAAAAATGCCTCTCATGGTCCAATATGAAAAGTAAGACAGACAGCAATCCCAGAAGAGCCTAACAGCTTCCACATGCATCAAATGCACAGGGCAGTTGAAAGAGGTGCAACACCTACAGTCTGTCACTAGAACTGATATTCATAATTGAAGAAATCAGCAGTCATGACAAACCAGCAGCTGCACAAGCATTACTGCACCACCACTTCTACTGCAACCAGCCCTTACCATTTTCTGAACATGCAATTTACAAAACACGACACCTGGAGCACCAACAGTAAGCATTCCCCAGGAAACCCACAGGCCTCAGTGTTTTACCATGCACTCAAATCAGTAGCTGGTTGATGAAACCAGATTTTGCCTTTACCTTGTCCGTTGTCTTATCTAGTTTCCCTCTTTCGGTTGTAGTCTCAATCTTCCACTGGATTACTGGGGAGAGCAGGGTCCACCATGGTCTGGGGCCCCGTTGTGGGGAAACATGAATAGACCCACTGGTTCCCCAGCAAGCATGTCGTAGAGGTCGACTAATTGAGGGCTTCCTTTGAAGTTGGAGTGCATCTGCCCGAGCAGCAAGGAACAACCACTTCTGGACTTTAGTCCTGTTCCAGAACCTGAGTGTTGAATGTACATCCATTTCACAGGTCTGACTCCCCCGTGTGGGTTCCGGGTCCCCATTGTGGGGAAAAAAAGAATAGACCCACTGTCTCCCCAAAAGCATGTCGTAAGAGTCGACTAATTGGGGAGCTTCTTTTGAAGTCGGGAGTTCTTCTGCCGGAGAGGCAAGGAACCAACAGTCTGTATTCAAGAGAATGAGATCTGTAAAACTGATGCACACACAACACTCAGGTTCTGGAGCAGGACTGCAGTTCAGTAGTGGACGAGCAACCAGAACTTTCCACCACAGTGTACAGCTGGTGAATGCGAAGAAGAAGAAGAAGACAAGTCTGACTCATTTGTATGCAGACTGTTGGTTCCTTGCCTCTCAGACTGATGAAGCTCCCAATTAGTTGACTCTTACGACATGCTTTTGGGCAGGCAGTGGGTCTATTCTTGTTTTCCCCACAACTGGGCCCCAGAGCCCCATCAAGGATTCAGCATACTGAGGCCTTAAGGTTGGCTGCTGCAGATACCACCTCTATTCAGCTCTGTGACTGGTCTTTTCTTCCCACCTGTTTACTGCTCTCAACCAACTCTTCTGTGTATGCAGTTTTTGTCTCTCTCTTACTTGCCATTCTTTCCATATGCGACAATGATTGTAAACTATTAGCCCTCATGATGACAGTAATTACTGGTGATTTAAACAGATATAAATCTCACCTTCATTTCCCTCCACCCAATCACCACTGTTTGCATCTCTGATGAATCCAAACATTTTCTTGTCTGTTTTCAAAGGTCTGTCATAAGGCATTGTCTCCTTTAGCCGTGATTAAAGTTTCAAAACCATACAGGGCAACAGGTCTTTGTCATCAGTATTTCACATATTGTGAACTTTGCACTATAGGACAGAGCATTTGATTTTAGCAGATGATGTAAGGCAGGGCTACTCAACTGGCAGCCCGCGGAATGAATCTGGTCCGCAGAGGCCTAGCATGTGGCCCATGGATCATTGCTGATTGTATTGTATTAATGATCTTTCTGTGCTAGGGCTCAGGCCTCCTGCCCGTAATGATCCCCATTTTCAACATTTTGGTCCCTCAGTAAACTTAGTTGAACAGCCCTTTGATAAGGCATAGTATATTTTATTTCTCTTAAGATGTTGGAACTGTTAAAGATAACAAACATTTTTTAAAATAACAAACAAAAACATGTAAACAAACATTGGTGGATTTCTCAAAGCTAAACAGTACTCACTGTGCACTTGGAAGCCCCAATAATTCTCACCGCAGCGGCCCAGACCACTCTGTACTTCATCTGCGATGCACACGCCCCCATTTTCCCTGATATATCTAACAATGTTTCAACAGTAAGTTATTAGTATTAGTATATCCCTTTTGTGTTTGTAAATATACGCCAATTATTAATTCAGTGCTAGGCAACTCAACTGTGTCTGTTGGTTTTTACTGTACTACAGTCAGGTCTTAACTCTTTATATCTCATCCAATTATTACATTACCCAACTCTGTTCTGCTTATATATTCTGTCCATGTTAAGATAACAGAACAAAGTCAGTCAGTGTAATTCTTTAGGGCCAACAAATGTATTCTTTAAACAAAATGAAAGTTTATTTTTTTTTTTTACTCCTCTAGGATTTCAGACTGAAATATTACCACCCAGTGACCCAAAGAGAAACTATTCGGATGAGAATCTACTGGAGCAAATCCCAGAAACCTAGTTCAGTCGTTATATTAATGCACCCGGCGATTATGAAGTAGTCTCTAGGAAGAAACTGAATACAACCAGGTCAAGTAATGTCTGTAATGACTGAAAGTGTTAAGCATGAGAAAAACTAACAGGAAACAACATCTTTCACAACATTGCATATAACATATTTCTCACACTTACAATTTTCAGTAAGCAAGAAAGTCACTTCAAGTTTTTTCAATCCAAAAATTGGCATTCAGTTTCTAACATTCAATTCATGAAATTGCAGATCTGTCACTTGCTCAGACACTAAATAAAAAAAAATGTGGAGGTTTCCCTCTGATTTTCTCATTTATTTTAATGGATTCATTTATCTGCTTCATTTCATTTGATTGTTACTGTAGTATGCACTTAATGACAAACAGAGAAATATGCCAGGGAATAAACTGTGCAATCTACTGTTTGTGTCTTCTTTGTTCAAATTTACAACAGGGAAACATTACTTTTATTTATATGAGAGTCTGTGACCTTCAACTCTCAATTTTTTTTTATCTGAAGCCCCACCCTGGCTTCTGTCGGGAGCCCTGAATATAGATATAGAATATAGATATAGAAATGGTCATAATGGCTGAAAGGGGTTTCCGGGACCTCTCCACGGGTGATCCTCATCCCCATGGTGGCACTCTGTGTCACCAGGTGTTTATCACTTGTGTGATGTCCTGGTTGGGTATAACTATTTACCTACCTACCAGCTTTTTAGAAATACAAAATTAACAACTGATACTACTGCTAGACATTTTTTTGGGTAATCATATCTTCTATTCTCTGCTGCTGCTAGTAGGGGGCAGCTGGGTGTCTTCCTATGTCAGGCTGAGACCACGCTGGAATTTCTCATTCTCCTACTTGAGCTGATCGGTTTTATGATCATTGCATTAAATTAGCTGTTCAGACTGGCATGTACTTTTACTGGTACAATGCCTGCTTTTGTGACTGACCATTTGCGCCAACAGTGAGCTGCAATTCTGGCACTGGACTATCAGTGTTGACATATCTTACAGCTGTTTTATGCATTTTTACTTTGTGTGTCTAATCTTTTTGATAGGATTGATAAGTTTTTCACTAGTTTTGAAATGGGACAGTGAAGGACATTTTGTGGATTTCCCTAGCACAGGAACAAAACAGTGATGGGGTGACTCTGCAGGGATGTTGGAACTAACAGTTGTCTGTCTTATGCCACCTTCCTTTATTCCATTTATGTCTATGCTGACATATATGTACATATATCAAAAATGTTACACTTGGTTTAAAGTTCCCATTTTCCCAGTATTCTGTCCTCCAGTACTCTGGCAATTTTTTTTTTGGGGTGGCATCTTAGGATGTAACCAAGTCTTGATAGTCTTCATATTCAGTTGAATTAAATTTGTCATATTTTTCTGTAACTTGTTATGTAGAGAATGAAAATAAACAGTCAGTGGTCAAAACACACACATATATAAACAGTAGTAAAATATTTGTACATGAAGAGAATGTAAAGAATGAAATATTTAATTATACAGAGAAGCAAAATAACATGAGTTATGTTGATAATGACATTAAATAGTCAATTATAAAGGACGAGTAAAGTATCCATAGATACGTGCAGAGAATGAAATTAAATGGTTAGTGAACGAAGACAAATAAAGTACCTGTACACATGTGTAATGTAGAGAATGACACAATCAATCATAAAGAGAATTAAAATACCTGTAGATGTTTGTAATGTAGAGAATGAAACAGTCTTTATAAAGACAGGTACCTGTGCACATGTGCAATGTGGAGAATGACACAGTCAATCATAAAGAGAATTAAAATACATGTAGATGTTTGTAATGTAGAGAATGAAACAGTCTATATAAAGACAAGTAAAGTACCTGTACATGTGAATAATGTAGAGAATGAAACAATCAATCATGAAGAGAATTAAAATACCTGTAGATGTTTGTAATGTAGAGAATGAAACAGTCTATATAAAGACAAGTAAAGTACCTGTACATGTGAATAATGTAGAGAATGAAACAATCAATCATGAAGAGAATTAAAATACCTGTAGATGTTTGTAATGTAAAAAATGAAACAGTCTTTATAAAGACAAGTAAAGTACCTGTGCACGTGTGTAATGTAGAGAATGAAACAGTCTTTATAAAGACAAGTAAAGTACCTGTGCACGTGTGTAATGTAGAGAATGAAACAGTCTATATAAAGACAAGTAAAGTACCTGTACACGTGTGTAAAATAGTTCTCTGGTGGCACAACTATTCCTCCTGCACTGATAATAGACTCTGATATGAAGGCACCAATCTGACAAGAAAATGATGAATTCATCCTAACAAATCTACAATATTTCTTCTCCACACCAACTGCTATGTTTAAGCTGCTGAAAGATTCAACTTCACAAAGTTGAAACAATAAGTTTTAAAAAACTAAATAACGACAGCCATATCATGATAGACTTCTATTTGTATAAACTAATCTGTGTTTGGTTGGCGATTTGGTCAATACCACTCCATCATCATCATAATATAACAGGTTCTTTCCAGAGCGTCGCTCCCATCATGGTTTGCCTGAAAGAAACTATCTCTCACCAGCTCTCCTGCCTCGTGCACTTTTACACTCAAGGAGTCACTTATATCCTGTGCCCATCTTCATGTTGGTCAGCCCCTGCCCCCCCCCCGCTTTCCAGTACCATGCCTTCTGCTTTTATTTTTTTCCTGATTCGCCAGCGTGCTTGATATAACCAAAATATTTCAGCTTCCGAGAAAAGATGCTGTTTATAAGCCAATCTTCCTTGATTTTCAGATCTTTTAAAATGTCAATATTTGTTCTCTTCTTTGTCCATAGTACTCTGAGAATCTTTCTGTAGCATTTCAGCTCAAAAGCCCTTATTTTCTTTCTTAAGGACTGCAATACCACTCTAAATTCCTTATTTCTAAAAAGTGTTCCTGGCACAAATTTTAGGATTGTCTTCCTGGGAACCAAAGTAATAATTTTACAACTTTACCTTAGTGTGGAAAGACTTGGAGGGTACAAGCAAAAGACACAATCAGATATGTGTGTTGGCTAGACAAAAAAAAAACAACAACTGGGTGATGACAGGAATGAGACAAAGTGTCAGAATAACAATAAAACTTTTGTAGAGTTCTGATCACACTGAACTGGGAGGGCAGGCACTAACCAGTGGGAACTGCAGATTCAGAAATTCAACAAATAATTCATGACAATTCCCATCCAGGTGATGTGATCATCTAAGATGTGCTGTGCTGACAGGCAGAAGTGCAGGGGGGTTTATAGCAACAACAAAAAAGAAATGGATAACAAAGTCTAGTATATGATACAACAACATCTAATTTGAGATGGAAGTAGAGATGATTTCAGAACCGGCTGTCCACACTCGTCATGACTTTAACAGACTTACAAAGCATGCTGTGAAAGGTGAAAACAGGAAGGATCTGTGCAGATAGACAAGCACTGCTTCAAAAGTCTCAGCTAGAGTCTTTGGATATTTTCCCTAGATCATGCATGTGTGTTGGGAAAAAAAACGACAGATGAATTGGCTGATTCTACAACATTTGGTGCTAAACTGATGCAGGTCAAGATAGATGTGGTCCAAGCTCTTTGGCAGCAAAGCAAGAAAACAGTGCAGAAGCACAAACAGATCAGCAAAGTCTGAAGAGAATCATGCAGCAGGGAGTGAGTAGGGGATCTCGTTGATGCTCTCTCTACACAGAGGAAAAGCAAAATGAACAATCAAACTGTTACTGATATCACAGGAGCTCTGTAATGGCTGCCAAGGTTGGAGACAGAGTGTCTATGGGAAAGTCCCGAAGGTTGTGATGTCAGCTCTCAACTAACCTCAACTCACTTCGTTATCTCCCCTACAGCGCCAACTAAGACATTGGTCTCTCAGAGATGCTTCGTCCTTATTAGGATGAAATTTTTTGTTATTTGAAGCCCCACCCTGGCTTTTGCCAGGGGCCCCAATATAGGCAGGCCATAAATATGGCCAATTGTCTGAACGAGGTTTCTGGGACCTCTCCACGGCAATCCTCATTCACATGGTGGCACTTTGTGTCATCAGGTGTTTATCGCTTGTGTAATCTGGTAATCTGGTAATCCTAGTTTCAGCATCATAGCAAACGGGTCACCCCATTGTTGCTCCGCTCCTGTACCAACGAAAAACACTCGTAGCTCACAGTGTCACACCATGCACTCAACTCAGAAGCTGGGTGACGAAACTATATCCTTCCAGTCTACAAATGGAGCAAAAATGCAACGGCCACCGCCTGGCAGAACTGCCACGGCTTAAAAAAAAAAAAAAAAAAGTGGTCGTGCCTAGTGTCCACTGTGACTTGAAGCATTATGTGAGGGGTTAACAAATGGTCACCCCAGCAGTACCCTCACTATTAGCTGGGAAAGGGACTTAGGACATTACATCCACCAGCAGGCGTCGCCCCTACAACGACCTGACTGCCTTCGTTAACGACTGTTCACCCAACAGCCATGCAGTTCTTTGGCACGAAGGAGACACCTTGAACTTGGGTTTCGCTTGTGTGATGTCCTAGTGGGGTAGAAAGTCAACTCAACTCAACTAAGACATAAATTAATACTGGTTGATCTGGTAGATTCCTAACTAATTTGAAATACTGATTCTTACCTCTCGACCATTCTGTTTAGCCTTCTGTATGAGTTTTAAGACTTCGTTCGCATATAGCTGTCCAGAATTAGGTTCATCTGCGCCGAACTTCCCTCTGAATGTTTTTGGTGTTGGAGCCTTTAAGCACAGGACAAGACATGGTATGAGAAGGATTTAAGGTGGAAATAAAGTATTTCTGTCATTTAAATGAGAAAGACAGTGGAACTTCAAGCGATATTTTTAATCCGTTCCACGTCTAAGCTCATATGGTGAATAACTCATATCTTGAAACTATTTTCACAGTTAAAATTAATGTTAACAATTTAAATTTGTTCCAGCCCTCAAAAAATTACCCTACTGGTTGCAAATAACGCTTATCGTTTCGTTAACTGGCTAAATGTGTGGCACTGCTTGGAGGATGAGGAAAGGGGGGGGGGGGAGGTGGGGAGGTGGGGGGGGGGGTGCTGGCCAGCAGCAGAAAGCAGGGCTAATTCTGAACACAATGCTAGAGTCCATCATTATCAAGTGCCTTGTCAACTGGCTCAAGTCCTCCTCCTGCAATATTAACATGACATAATCCATTTAAAAGTTGAATTCTGTTGTGCCATTATATGTCACACAGGACTGGCAGTCTATTTCTCCATTCAGTTCCATCTTATACAATCACTTCCATATTTCAGACAGAATCCAGTCCAGCAACTTTGTGTTCTCTCCTCAATGTCTGCCTAAGGGTTTCTTATGGATGTCCTCATTTTCTTGTGGATAGTCTCTTCTCTTGTGTTGTTTCACATGACAAAATTATGAAAATTCACAATAAAACGAGCGGCTGATGAACCAAGCACTTTGACAGGAAAGTGAAGTTGGTCTAGGATTTTCACAGTCCAACAGGTGATCGATACTTTGGTTGATTCAGACTTTACGAAGTCATAATTTCATGAAGAATACGTTCACAGTTGAAGTGACACAGGCAGTGAGATGTGGAATGATGAGGAGAATCTTGAAAATTATAAATCTAGAAATAGATCGAAAGTAGGAAAAGGGAGCATGTCCCTCAAATAGCAACATCTACTGTTCACTTTGTGAAAAAAGGTTGATCCTGCTGGGTGGTTTAGCACACAAAGGTGGAATACTGCCGCTAGATAAAAGGTTAACCTATTTTCTACAGTGTCTCCAAGTTTCATCTTTTTCTAGCCACTTGTTTGCATGTAACTAATATTTTTGTATATCATGTTGGTTTTTTCGCGTTAATGCCCAGGAGCTCAGGTATAGGGGGCAGTTAGGTTCTGGGCCTGAGGTCTGGTAGGGTTAAGTCTCTCTCCCCCCTGCTCTCTTTTTTATTGGATTTGTTCTGCAACACCTTTTCCTCTTCCTATATTATACAATTTACTACATACCCCTCCAGTGGTCAAGATACTCTCCCCCCTTGTTAGTGTGGTTTTTGTCAATAAAGACTACTGCTGAACCATCTGAGTGTTCCTTCTGTGTTTTGTGTGTGTGTGTGTGTGTGTGTGCCCCTTCACGTGTTCGTTAAGCTCCTACATCACAGCTGAGTGGATTAAATTCTTGATAGTAGCTTGACTGCAGTCAGTCCTGTTATTCATCACTTTTAAGCTTCTGTAGTAGAGTGGCTAGTGTACTTGTCTGCTAGCCTGGCCGTCTAGAATTTGACTCTTCCAGTCCTAAGAGACACTTGCTCTTCCCCAAAAATTCCAACCATTGCATCATTTTTTAATTTTTTTATATTTGATCACAATGCACTAAGAAAATCTGGCCTCTCCATAGGTCCGTTCACTGTCTAATTGACCTCTTCATAAGCAAATCATAGGTGATTTTTCATAGTAATCATCCTCTTCTCTTCAGACCTAACAAACCTTGTGGTACTAAAGAGTTAGGTTAAATCTTCCTAGTGGTACAATATTGTTGTTCCCAAAACCAGTGGCTTCAGGACTAACACAGTTTCATACAATATTCATTAGAAATGTTCTATAAAGTGAGGATGTCATGATATCGACCCCCATCACCTGTCAAGTTCCACTCTTCTTGTTCAGCCTTCCGAGCCCTTAAAGTTCACTGCTACGGATATCATCCACCTTAATTCACCTCTGTGACTAGCCTTCTCTTTCCAGGTGGTGACTCCAAGAGTATGTAGATCTGCCTGAATATTCTCTCTCCACTATCTTTTTTGGTCTGCCTTGTGGTCTACTTTCAGTCAGCTCCTCTGTGAACACAGTTTTGTCTCTGTTATCTGTCGTTCTGTCTCTATGCTCAACAGACTCCCATTACATTAGGAAAATGTGGACTTTATCTCCATTAGGCCATGACTGTGTTTAAACCAAAGTTGTTTATCTTTTCTCTTCAAGTAATTTTTAATAAAATATAAAATTGACATATAATTTCAGACTGATATGTAAATAAAGTCAAGAAACATTTTCAATACTTTGAGGCACATTTTGTATTTGTTACTGGTCTCAAATAAACTCACTAACACAGTGGCAAGATGCTTGCCTGCTGGCTTGAAGTTCTTGAGTTCACTTCAGCCCTGAGGCAGATTCATTTCTTTCAAAAATGACTTTGGCTCCCCAGCTGACCCAGCTAAAAATGAGTACCAGATAATGTCCCAGGGAGCAAAGTTGGTCGGAATTATGCTGATCATATTACCCACAAAGTGCTGATTGGTCTATATCAGAGCTATACAACTAAGTTGACTTAGGGGCCACAATTTTGAAAATGGGGGTTGTCATGGGCCACAGGCCTGAGCCATAGCGTCAGACCTCCACGGGCCTGTTAAACAGCCCTGGTCTATTTCATGGAAAGGTATACAATCGAACGAAAAGTATATTAGCGAGCTTCACAATATAACAAACCAAAAGTGAATGTCGCGGCTACAGCGCCTTCATCAGCACATAAATAAACACTAATACCCAAAATTACTTAACTGACATATCCTGAAGCAGCCACGTTGATGTCTAGCCAGTGGAATATTTCACATGAGTGGTCTATACAAATATGAGTCTAGCATCATATGCTCGCTGCACTACCTTTGCAATTTTACTTTTGCCTAAAAGGAGTTAGTTTAAGACCTATGCTTCACTGGAAGATGAAAGGCAGCAGAAAAAAGAAGTCAGCATGACATTAAAAGGGAGAGAGAACTCCATAAATAATCACATTTAGGGTATTCAGAATATAATCAAGAACTTACAACATGAACCCACTCCTTCAGCTGATGCTTCAATCCCAATCTTTTATAGGTTATGGGACTAATTTCTACTAAATTGCCCAGGTTGCCGTGGTAGGCTCTGAAAATAAGATTGAACAGTGTGAATGAATGAACACTGTGCTTAGGTAACATAAAACCCCTCATTGTACAGTACATGTGGGTCTACTAACTTAAGAGTTGTCCCAAACACAACCAGCACCGCATGATACACTTGGGTAGTATTTTCTGCAGCCATTACAGTTGAAATATTTCGATTTTGTGTAGACACCAGCTATGGGTAAACAAAGAAGATATGCCAAACAGCTCCTACGGGGTATGCTGAGCATGGAGACCCTGAGATGGCCGCTGCATCGGAGGACACAGCAAGAATGAGTCGGACCGATGTGTTTAGGATGTGGATATAGACAACAAGTAACAAGGACTCTAATTAGGAAACTACATCCATCCATCCATTCACTCACTCACCCATCTACACAAATGAACACAACAGTTTGATAGAAATTACAGTAACCATGCCAGTGTTTTGTAACCTGTCAATACTGTTGTTAAAGATGTCAAGAGTGTCGAGTTAATGACTTCAGAATGATGACTAACATGGTGACATCATTATGACAGTTTAAAGATGGCCTTCCAACTTTTGACATACACCAAAGATAGCAGCTTTCTGTTATCTGCTTTTATCGTTGTTGACAGGCTACAGGACAATTGTAATTTCTTTGTAAATTTCTATTCAACTTTTAAGGTTTTCATCTGAAGCACACAAACGTAACGCAACAGAATTCTATAAATAAGTAATATAATAATAATGACAGTATGGAAAATACCCATTCAGAAAACCTGACAACAAAATAACTAGAATGCCTCTGCACTGAAATCCACAGGGTCAAGTGAATAAAGGAGGACACAAATTGTATGAAGGGAACTAGAGGTGAAATTTAAAAAAAAAAGTGGGAAGACATGAAGTGAGCAGCATGCAATGGCAAAGTGTAGGACAAGTTGGCAGGAGCTGGTTGAGGGTCTATGTTCCATTGGGGGATAAAGGCAAAATAATAATCATAATAATAAGAAGAAGAAGAAGAGAAGGAGGAGAAGGGGGGAGGAGGAGGAGGAGGAGAAGAAGAAGAAGAAGCAGCACAGCAGCAGCAGAAAAAGAAGAAGAAAAAGAAGACTGTAAAAGGTTTAACTTATACAGTAGTTATGTAACTATGAACATATTTATGAAACAAAATCCTGCTGTATTCATGCTTGTCTTTGCAAAAGTTTGTCTCAGAAAGAAACATCTCTGCTATTTCCAGTTTTACAAATCAACTATTTCCTCCAGAAAACAGCACATCTAAGATCAGTAACCACGTTCCAACCGCAGTGAACATCAATACAATACAAACAAGGCACTCACTCATCCAGGCATATCACATCATGTTTCTTGGTATATGAAGCTGCAAGTCGCAAAGCAAGATCATTTCCCTCTGATCTGAAAGACAGACAAGCAAATATCAATCAGATATTCATAAATTATGAAAACATTCATTGTCTGTTTGTTTTAGTATCCAGAAGCAAGGAGTTGTTAACCCTTAGGCTCAGTATTATGGATATCGCAAGCTTTCGGCCTTGATTCCATTGTAAATACTTTAAATCTGGGAGAAATGTGGCTTTTCTGCCTACCCCCGGGAGTGAACCCGGACCACATGGAGTTCGTTACCTGGTCATCTTGCAATCAGGTTTAGCCAACTACGCTAGAGAGCCGGGCAAAAACATTCATTAACTGGTGCCTGTGCAGAACACAGGAAATTGAAAGGTATGATAGAACCACTAATGTGGAGCTTTGGGACAGAGCTAAATACATTCCAGTGCATCAAGAGGTGAAGATAAGACACTGGTATTGAATAGGACCCACTGAGAACAATTACCAATATGTCTTTATACTGGAACCCACTTAGAAATAGAGAAATAAAAGGCATAGAGAGTGGGGTTGAAAGATAGGGAGGACAAGGGGTGAGGTGCATGTTACTTTAATGGATAGAATGACTTGGTTGAGGGCTTTTGATCCATTGCAGGATAACTGGCAGACAAAGAAGTATTGACGAAAACTAAAAATTGTAGGAGTCAATCAAGTTGCAAGTCACACTGCAAGATCTTTACCTTCTAATCTCAACTCTTTGAGTCCCAAGGAATGCATCACACGTTCATAGGTTCCTACCTAGAAGCCCAATGAACGCATGATGCGCTGATTTTGATACTTTCTTTACTACACCCTGGGCCTGTGATGCTAAACTCACTGGGACTCAAAGAGTTAAAGACAGATATGCAAATTAAGACAGTCAATGACAAGATAGTAATTCTTCTTCTTCTTTTGTTCTACTGCTTATGTTGAATAGCATCACAAACTGGTACATGATATAATTTCCTGTCTTTTGCTAGTTGAGTAGCTTGTGCTAATGTGATACTGTGTTTCTGTTGTTTCACTTTCTCCACCCATCTCTTTCTTGGTCAGCCTCTTGATTTGTAATCTGCTGTTCTTATGTTGTACGATCTAGCTGATGGCCGATTTTGTTCTTTTGACCAGATGACCAAACCATTTGATTCTTTGATGTTTGATGAAATCATTTACTGGTGCTGTGGCTACCATTGATCTTAGTTCCTAGTTGCTAGTGACTCTGTCTCTTCTTGTTTCTTCCTGTCCACATTTCTTATAATCTCATCTCACATGTTGTAACTTTGTGTTTATATTTTTCTAGGACTATCCAAGTTTAACATTTTCTTGAATTTGGTACAAAAAAGCATTTATCACCTGCTTTTCTGTGTGCATGTTGATATTTAATTGCTAAAAATAATTATGAATATCATTTCCATATTCTGGGAAATAGAGGCACCCAAATTGATCTTTAAAATATTCAAAATATGTGGTTAGTAGATGAAAATATTCAATACACTTGAAGGAGTCAAAATTACACTTAATTTTTTCCCCGCCTCCTGCATTTCATCCAGAAAGATTAAAACCCAGTGGCCGAAGAGCCACTTTTTGGATGAGAATTTTCCCGTGTGGGTTCCAGTGCCCTATTATAGGGAAAACCCATTGCCTACCTAAAAGCATGTCGTAAGAGTTGACTAATTGGGAACTTCCTTCGAAGTCGGAGTGCATCTGCCTGAGAGGCAAGGAACCAGCAGTCTGTATACAAATGAGTCAGATCTGTAAAGCGGATGCACACGCAACACTCAGGGTCTGGAGCAGGACTGCAGTCCAGAAGTGGATGAACAACCAGAACTTTTCGCCGGAGTTTACAGCTGGTGAATGCCAAGAAGAAGAAGAAGGATGCAAATTAACCAGAAGCAATTTTAGGCACCCTTTTCCACCATATAAAGGTCCTTTGACCAGCCACTGACGCACTGGGCATATGTGGTTAGACTCATATATGTCTAGACCAAACGGCCCTCGATAGGTGATGTGGTCAATGTTATGCCGGCCATCTTTACTTCTCAGAACTCTGTCTGGTATCCATTTAAGGCTAGGTCAACCTGGTAGAAAAGGTCACGTTTAAACAAAATCTGGCACCATGAGGTTTTGAACTCCCTGGCATTAGGATCTGCAGGTGAACATCTAGCCGCTACACTATTTTACCATATAAACACTTACATTTAGGCATCCTACACTTAAAAAAATAGTTTGCTGTCAGTCATATGGACTGGGAGAGAGAAAACTGGCTATCTGTTTAACTACACTACAAGCACAATATGCGACAATGGAATAAGGTAGCAGTAATTTGCCTAACCATTTAAATGTTGAATGTTGAATTAGGAATCGACATCACAGCATTTGGGACACTCCCATAAACGCTCTGTTCCCATCAGCAGCAGCAAAAGAAGAGTTCCAATTCTGATGGCACCAGTAACTGTCTGATTGTATATCCATCTCGTCCTTCCCTTGAGAGTTGAGCGTCGGCCAGATTCCCAGGTAACCCCTCGCAGCGTCATTCTCCTTAGACCATAATGTTCTATTTGCACTTCTGCACTGTTCACTTGCTCACAGAGGGCCCTCACAATGTCTAGCTTGTCACACATCAATTCACCACCAAGTGGTGCAGAACCGGCTAGTATATCTGCCTGCTCATTTACCAACACAGCGGCGTAACCTGGAGAGAATATCCAAAGAATACTAACTACCCTGGACCTCTGAAGTGATGCTTGCCACTCTGCATGAAGCATACCTGTCTTCACCTTTCTCAACATGCTAACCATTTTAATACATAACATATACAATCATTCAGTTAGAAAAGATTGTACCTACTTTATTTTTAAGGTAAAGGGTAAACACAACTGATCTAAACAATAAACCATCAGATTACAGTGATACTGTGGGGGTTTTAGGATCCTATTTTGAGGAGAAAAAAGAATAGACCCACTGGTTCTACCAAGGATTTCGCAAACAAAGTGACTATTAGAAGTCTGCTGAAACAGAAATGTTGAGCAGAATGATACAAATATCACAGCCTTGCTTTAAACCACACAACAAAGTGCTTTTAAAGATGATTTCAAAAGAAGAAGATCCTTGTGTGGGTTCAGGAGCCCAACTGTGGGAGTGGTAAACGTCTACTAATTAAGGGCGTTTCCTCAGAAGTCAAAGTGCATCTGCCTGAGAGGCAAGGAAACGACAGTCTGCATACATATCTGTAAAACGGATTGCATGTAAAGCTCAAGTTCTGGAAAAAGTCCAAGTCCAGATGTGGACGAACAACCAAAACTTTCCACCGGAGTTTACAGCTGGTAATCACGAAGAAGAGGAAAAAGAGGAAAAAAAAATTATAAAGAAACAAACTGTACCAATGCCTTACCCTGACGATACAAAGAAACAGACGCACAGAGATTCCGGTAATGTGCTAATGAGATGTTTAGCATACATGGCAGTCTGGTCATTGAGGAACCCATAGCTGCAGGTTAGTTTTGACATCTGTTCCTGACCTACACTCACCACATGCGGATGACAGTGACCAACTGTAAAAGCCAAAAGCCATGATGAAAAAAAAAAAGAAATGAAAGGACAAATAATAGATTTTTTAAACAGAAACAATAATATAGTGACTACAGGCTTCTTTCTTCTTCTTTTTCTTCTTGACGTTTACCGGCTGTAAACTCTGGCAGAAAGATCTGGTTGTTTGTCCACTTCCAGACTATAGTCTTTTCCAGAACTTGAGTTTTGTGTGCACATCTGTTTTACAAATCTGGATTATTTATTTCTCAAGCAGATGCACCCTGACTCTGGAGGTAACACTCCCAATTAGTCCCCTCTTTTAGCATGCTTGTTAGGGGGCCTGTAGGTCTGACTTTGAAGGTAACACCCCTAATTAGTCACCTGTTACAGCATGCTTGTTAAAGGACCTGTAGGACTGACTTTGAAGGTAACACCCCTAATTAGTCATCTGTTACAGCATGCTTGTTAGGGGGCCTGTAGGTCTGACTTTGAAGGTAACACCCCTAATTAGTCACCTGTTACAGCATGCTTGTTAGGGGGCCTGTAGGTCTGACTTTGAAGGTAACACCCCTAATTAGTCACCTGTTACAGCATGCTTGTTAGGGGTCCTGTAGGTCCCATTTTGGAGACAAGGTGGCTGAAATATCGGCCCAACACAAAGTAGCCAAAAGGATGACTGGGTCGATCGGTCGGCCCTATTAACAGAAGCCTTGATATTGGCTGGCAGGTTTTCGTACCAGACAATCAGACTGCTTCACGCATCAGACTGCTTCACGCATTTCTTGCACTTGTGGGCTGTTCACTGACCACTTTTGAGAGAGTTTTATGTATTCTGAAATGTTACATCAATTGTTTCTGTGGTTACCTGCGCTCAACAGTGACGAAAAGGACTGTTGCATCATAGCAACCAAAACATAGCTGGAGGCAGGAAAATTAGTAGAACCATGTGCCAGAAGTGTCTGAGAGGCCTCCAAGAGCCTTTCTTCCCAAAATACAGGTTTTAGGACTTATTCAAGCTTCATCCATACAAAAATGCATCCAAATTTTGTAGGTTAGTTATGTTTGTTCCCTGTTTAAAAAACACTGCTTGCATAAATTATGCAAATCAGAATAGTTAATTTAAATAAATTTTGAGATTTCAGTTTGATTCATAAATATTCTGTTAGTTCATTAAATTTTCTACACAAACATGTATAGTTTTGTAAATGTTAATTAAATGCTTTATTTTTTTATAATTTTTGTGTGTATAAACTATGAGAATTCCCTCCTGAAAGCTCTGTCTTCTTGGCACCGAAACTCAAAAAAGGCTCCGTCTCAAAAGGCTTTAAAAGAGTGACAGGATCGCCTTCACTGTAGTTGAGTAAATCCCAGATGGTTTGGTCTTTCTCTGCAAAGTGGCCGGTCACCCACCAAGAGCATCACACAAAGCATGAAGGCTGTAGATCCAGCGCCAACCCACAACAATCTCTGACATGCCTGTACCAGTGAAACAAATGACCGAGCCTGCTGACCATGATGCATACAGCTGACCTATACTGATCCACTAGGGAGCATCCCCAGCAGGCGAGATAGCAAAGATAATGAAACAACAATGAGGCTGTACATGTCTGATAAAACTTATCAGAAAAGTTTGGGCAACAAATGCTTAGTGTCAGATGTGTAGCCTGAAAGATGCAAACTGCTGTAATGTTACAAACAGACATCAAGTAATTATGTCACATGGATAGACAATGAAAAAAAAAGAAGAAGAAATGCCCATGTTATGTCTTGAAAGAAAACGACTCACGAAGAGAACCTATTGCCCACATCAGAAAGAGACAATATACATTCTTTGGTCTTGAGATGAGAAGGAGAAAACTGGAGTACATCGTGGCAGTAGGATAGCTGGAGGGGAGGAGAGGCACACAGAGAGACAAGATGCTGGACAGTCTGACATCATGGCATGGAGGATCATCTGTATCAGAGTTGACTGAAAGTACACGAAACAGAAGGTTGTGGATAGACATGACTACTAATGCCACACGGCATGGACTTTAAGAAAAAGCATTTGAAATAACAGAATTGAATGATAACAGCTGTATCCACAGTTAGGGGAAAAAAGATAGCTTTTACTGTAGAGAGTTTCAATACAACTAAATTAATCTTTCTCTCCTAGCAAAATATTTGTTCACCTGCTGAATGTTACACAAAGGAGAAACTCTGTAGCTCCAGGGATAACCACAAGGGAATCTCTGAAATCTACTCCTTTTTCAAGCCACATTAATGGTGGGACTGAGAATAAATACAAAGAAAACTAAGATCATGACAAGCAGTCCAAACCAACAACCAGTGACCATAAATAACCAAACTCTTGAAAATATAGAACACTAGCTGTACCCGGCCACGCGTTGCTGTGGCGTAATTTGAGATAGTCTTTGATCCCCCCCCCCCCACAACTAAATCCACCTAGTACCCTCTCCCTCATCAAAGGTTTTTAGAAAAGAAAGACAATGGAAATCGCACCTGTCTAATGAAGTTAATGACACAGTCAATGTCTGCGCCGACGTCGAGATAGTCCTTGATGCCCCCCCCACCCCCCCCACCCCCCCCCCCCCCCCCCCCCCCCCCCCCCCCATTTCCCCATCGAAGGTTGTTTGAAAAAAAAAAAACAGAAAATAGAAATCGTGTTTAATATGGTTATTGTGGCAAATATAGAGATAGTCTTGTTTGCTGTACCACGACCTACTCTATGTATTAGTATTAGAAAAGGCGTTGGCTGCACGTAACTCGCCGGCGAATGGTAAATACGGCGCATGCGCAATTACTAACGTGGCTATAATTATAAATCACTAAAGTTATAAATATTAGTTGCGTATATTTTGGCATTAATTGTGGTCATCTATCTCTAACAGTGACAGGTTGAATTTCAAACCACGACGGTTCAAAATCCGGTATCACAACAAACATATCCTGGAAATTTCAGCTAAATCGGTTCAGTAGTTTCCGAGTCTATAGAGACCAAACAAACACACAAACATTGATTTTTATATATATAGATTTAACATATCTTGGCAGTGTGGTGTCCCTGCCAGGAGGGACCAAAGAGGACATACAGTCACGTCTGAACAAAGCTAGAGATGCTTTTGGAAGGATGAGGCAAATCTGGAAATCCAACAATTACTGCAGAGGAACGAAACTCTGACTTTACAAGAGCATCATTTTACCAGTTCTTCTTTATGGAGTGGAATGCTGGAGAATGACCAAAAAAGATGCACACAAGCTGTCCACCTTCCACATATACGTAGAATTACCAAAATTTTCTGGCCAGATACAATCTCAAACACTAAACTACTTCAAGTCACAAACCAAGAAACTTTAGACAGTATGATAACCAAGAGAAGATGGAAATGGCTTGGCCACGTTATGAGAATGAATCCTGATGTACCCGCCCAAACAGCTCTCACATGGACACCAGAGGGAAAGAGAAAACAGGGGCGACCAAAAACAACATGGAGACGAACGATGGAAAGTGACCTGAATGAGGCATCTTTGACATGGAAAACTGCACTGAAGATTGCACAGGACAGGAAAGCATGGAAAGTCCTCTCTGAAGCCTCATGTGCCACTAGGCATAATGAGAACTGATGATGATGATGAATCTCTGAAATGCTTGAACTTGCAAAACTGAAGGACACAGTCTGAAATCAAACCCCTATCTTTCATAGCACAAGGCAAATGGCTTAACCACTTCAGCAAAGAGAGCCTTGGGTTGGCTAAGAATGTTTGGAAACCAAATGGTAGCTCCATCAATTCGACACACAAGCTATTCCCAACATCTCATTCAGATTTTGTTGGCCAAACAAATCATTGCTTTGGTAAAGCAGGCTCAACTCTCTCTTGATATAGCTTCCATACAATATACACATAAATACACACCTATATATATGCATGTATATATATATATATATATATATATATATATATATATATATATATATGTATGTATACATATATATATATGTGTGTGTGTGTATATATCATCACGAATATCATCATGTAGCAGGTCCTTTGCAGAACGTCGCTCTCATCACGGTATGCCTGAAAGAAACTCGGTCTCTCACCAGCTCTCCCGCCTCATGTATACACAAGGAGTCACTTATATCCTGTGCCCATCTTCATGTCCGTCTGCCCCTGCTCCTCCTTTCTGGTACCATGCCTTCTGCTATATTTTTTCTAAACTGTCGTGGCGCTTGATATGACCAAAATATTTAAGCTTCCCAGACAGGATGCTGTTTTTTAGCCAATCTTCCTTGATGTTCAGATATTTCAAAATGTCAGTATTTCTCCTCTTCTTTGTCCAAAATATTCTGAGAATTTGTCTATAGCATTTCATCTCAAAAGCCCCTATTCTCTTTCTTAAGGACTGGGAGATAGTCCATGCCTCACATCCGTATGTTGCTACAGGAAAAATGCACGTTCTCAATACACACACACATATATATACACACACACACATACATACATACATACATACATACATACATACATACATACATACATACATACATACATACATACATACATACATACATACATACATACACACACACATACATACATACATACATACACACAAACATACATACATACATACATACATACATACATACATACATACATACATACATACATACATACATACATACATACATACATACATACATACATACATACATACATACATACATACATACATACATACATACATACATACATACATACATACATATATGCATATGTGTGTGTGTATATATAAAAATATATACATTTATATATGTGGTTTCAATTTCAGTACTATGATTTTGTATAACTTACCATGTGACGCATTGTTAATACAGTCAAGATACTCCTGACCCGTATCATCATACAAATACTGTCGAGATGCCCGCACAATTTTCAGTGGTGACACCTCAAAATGCAGCCTGCAGGATTTCCTGGCAAATAAAACAAATGTGTTTGTAAAGGCACTAGGTTTTTTCCTATATGACTTGATCACTTTCCACTGAGGCTGAAACTTACTGGCTCCAGCAAAAAAAAAAAAAAAACAGGGATCACTGAAACACCTGCTTGTTGACCCTCCTTCTGATGTTTGTGATAAGTTATCTTCGGGTCATCGTCTCTTTCAAAACATCTGGATTAGTCCTTTTCGCTGCTCAATGTATTTGAGTTCTTCTGGAAAACCACCTTTCTGAGGCCTCAACAAATTGTTTAGACTGCTAATTGTCCAGATTCATGGTCATGTGTGTAGGAGACAAACCGGTTAAACAACTTGTCTCAGAGACTCCCTAGAAGACAAGTTAACCCAGCCCATCTAGTACCAATCATTTGACCATATATTTATTGGTAGCTCCATTTATGGTCAGTTTTTCTTAACCTTTTGTGTCATCTAGTTATTACATTAAGCTACCCCCTTCCAACTGTTACTTTAATGCAGAAATAACTCAAATTTATAGCGGGAAATGTTTTCAAAGATTACAGCATGCAGCATTTCAAATAGAGCAGCCATGGCGTGGCGGCTAGACACTCAACTACAGAGTGAAAGGTCGTGGGTTCGGTTCCAGACAGAGCAGGACTTTTTTCAAAAACGACTTTGGCTCTCAGGTCGACCCAGCCTTGAGTGGATACCAGGTAAAGTAGTGGAAAGTAAAGGTGGTCGGTGTGATGCTGACCATATCATCCACCAAGTGCCGAGTGGTAGATAAAATATCGGTCTAGCCCTGTATCCCCAATAAGCCTAAAGGTGTGGAAAAAGGTCTTCTACTTGTAACTGTTTTAACAATAAAATGTATTAGTTCCGCTCCAAAAAAATGAATTGAGCTAAGTTGCCTGGGACTGAAAGAGTTAACAACAATGAAAAGCACCAGATATAATTAAGACTGTTGGGCTACTACAGCCACATGCTTACCCAAACATGTTTCATTTGTAGCTTTACAAAAAAACTATCTATCCACTAGCAGTAGTTGGATAAACTCTGTTTGATATAGAAATATCTATCAACAGTAATGAGGGAAATGTTTTTCTATGGTTGCAGCATTTGAAAAAAGTAATGTAGAAGTCTTGAAAAAAAAATACGACTCACAAAAACTTATTGCCCACATCAGAAAGAGACAATATACATTCTTTGGTCATGAGATGAGAAGGAGAAAACTGGAGTACATCGTGGCAGTAGGATAGCTGGAGGAGAGAAGAGGCAGAGGGAGACCAAGAGACAAGATGCTGGACAGTCTGACATCATGGCATGGAGGATCATCTGTTTCAGAGTTGACTGAAAGTATACGAAACAAAAGGTTGTGGATAGACATGACTACCAATGCCACATGGCATGGACTTTAAGAAAAAGCATATGAAATATTAGAACTGAATGATAACAGCTGTATACACAGTAGGGAAAAAGCTTTTACTGTGGAAAGTTTCAATACTAAATCTCTAACACTCTACTGGCAAAATTCCCAAGGCAAAACCATAATGATTAGATTTAATGAGTTGAAGCTTGTTATTATTTCAGCTCAATTGGATGTATTTCCATTTAGGAAAATATGTGGTAATTGGACGATGCATCAATATATTACTGGCCCATAAAGGACCTTTTTGACACATGTTTCGCATAAGGCAAATGATGCTAAAATTGTATCTTTATAGACCAAACAGCATTTGATGGATTGTGGTCAACATCGTGCTGCTGGCCTTTACTTCCCAGGACATCATCCGGCACTCGTTTTAGGCTGGGTCGACCTGGCAGCCAAGGTCATATACGACCAAAATAAATCTGACTCCATGCAGATTTAAACCCAAGACCTATGGGCTGACAGGCCAGCATCTAGCCCCTATGCTACAGTAGCTCCCACCGACCCATAAGTGAAGCATGAAATAGAAGCCCAGCATCCTACTATGGAGCAGATAAAAACAACACAGCTTAGTTACTTCTTGGCAGTCATCATGGTCTAGCGGCTAGACGCTCACTTACGGATCCGAACGTGTTGGGGTCAGGCTTTGAAAACAAAACATTCACCTTGGTTCCCAGGTCAACCCAGCCATAAAGGAGTACTGGAAAAAGTCCTGAGAAGTAAAGACGGCCAACGCAATGATGATCACATCACCTACTGAGCGCGGATTGGTCTATAAAAATATAGGTCTACCCCAATACAGATAAAAACGTGGAAAAGGGTCCTTTACTTTACTTTAGTTACTTCCTGACAGATATCATCTAAACATTATTTATATTCATTATTTACAGTCACTTATATTTTTGCAACCTAGCATGCATGTTGTAAGAGCAACTACGGAAGGCCGGTGTTAGTCTTGCTACCTTAATTAGATAGAAAGCTGACCTGAGAAAAAAATCAATTAGTGATAAACAAGTCTACAAATGTGGCTTGTTGTGAGTGAGCCTAATGCCTATGCTCCAAATGAAGATGAAACATAGCAGAAGAAAAAGAAGTTGTGAGATAGTCGACAGATAGTTTTGACACCACACTGAACCATTCAGACTATAACTCGGATCTTCTCAGTATATCCCCTCAGGACGTGAGCTTATGGCACCAGTTCTATGTTGGTTTATTCTTCTTCGTTGGCTAGGTGCATAATGCTACTGTCCCAGTACCCTCACCCTTTTACATTTTCTGTTCTGGCAGTCTAGTCATAGTTGTAGACTGACAATAATTTCTTGATTCAGGCAAACTGATACTTTTTATAGAGCATCATCTGCCTGCTACAGCAACCCTACTGGCAAACATATTAGCTCGTTACTTTTCTCTTAAACCTGCATTTCATAGCATAAAAATGACACCCGTCTTTGACAGCCTGACCATCTCAGAGACTTAGACCAAGGAGAAGTAGAGGAAGAGGATGAGGAGAAGGAGGAGGATGAAGAAGAAGAAGAGGACAAGGAGAAGGAGGAGGATGAAGAAGAAGAAGAAAAAGAAGAAGAAGAAAGAAGAAAAGAAGAAAAGGACAACTGTGTTAGTGTCCAACATGCACAAAAGGTAGAGAAAAATGTAATTCAGACATACATGTGGATCAATTCAAAACTCCTCCTTAAAATCTGGGACCACAATCTCAGGATAACAAAATTAATAATCTGTTTTTACCCAACAAAGCTCTTCCTCATCTGAAGCGTTTGTCTGTAAGACACCTCAGACTTTTCTGGCATACTAGCTCTCTGATTCAAGTCTTCTCTATCTGCACAGAAAAAAACGTAACTATCAGGATTTATTTGAACTGTTTATGTATTCAGTCAGAGCATTCGGTTATCTGCATTATCATTATGTAATACCTCCTAGATAATGATTAAAATGGACTATATATATATATATATATATATGTGTTCTTCAGAAAATGCTGAAACTTGTAGCGGATGACACCAGTCCTGTGTTGGTTTTTTACACATGTAAGTAAATGCCCATTTTCAGGTCATTAGCACACTAGGCATACGTACGGTGTTACTCATATTTTATAGGCTCACACTAACAGTCATTGAACAACCGGTGCGGTTAACATCATAACAGCCGCCTTTATTTCTGCTGACATGTTCTAGTACCCATTTTATGCTGGTCTGACATAATAACTTAGGTCAATTATAAAAATGTGCACCCTTGAGGATAAGAACCTTAACTCTCCCAGTCCCATAGGATGCATCACCCGCTAATCGGTTACTACCAAGCAACTCAATCAGCGAATGGCAAATACTGGTTTTTAATTTACCACTGGCCAGTACACCAACACAAACCGGCAGTTTTGAATGGTATTTTCAGCTCTTTGTGTTCAATAACACCCGGGCTGACCATTAGGTTTCATCGGAAATGTTATTTAAAAGCATAAAATATAGCATATTTGTGAGCTTTACCAAGTTACTAAGTGTATTGTGCAAAAACTATATGGCCTACGAGCAGACTTTTTTATGAATGCCAACAAGATTTATTACTTTAGAAGCCTCATATTTAAATAAAACAAGCATTCATCAAATTTATCCGAAGCTAGACAAAAAAAGTTAGAAGCAGACTTGTTTCAGTCATTAACAGAGACAAATTTTGTTTAGGTATAGCTCTATTATATACCTAATGGAAATCGTACAACAGTAACAAAGTCAGCTGGTCTAAAGAGAATAAATATTAGTGAGAAAGGCATAATTCTTTAGTGTCAGTCAGGTCTAGTGCGATTTCCTTATTATTTGGGAAAATAGCCTATAAAATTATGGGCAAACTGTGGCGCGGTGATTTATGTCACAGGCGTGAGGGGAAGTTAAGTCCTACATGATGTGTATAAGGAGATACTCCGTACGTCACTCGGGCGCCAGTCCTTTAATATCCTGGTTGTACGGAACCTCACGCAAGACCCCGGCAGCACGTCCTCGTCGTGCGCCACGGATAATGTCTCAAATGAGCATTAACAGAGCTGCCAGGGGATCTTGGAGTTTGGCGGCCCCCAGAGGTGATGTGTCCTTGTGGCTCTCATCAGCCCGCCCCCAAACGCTTGGGTGAAAAAATTGTTATCAAAACTCATTAGGAACATGAGCAGGTCTGCCAAACGTACAGCCAAAATTACAACCCTTGGTTAAAAGACAGCGGAATAAAGAGAACATTGTTTACTGCACATCCTCTGTTAACCCTCAGTGTCGTCGCCACCGCACTGGGGTACACCACAACAGCAACCATCCATAGGCTGGCCATTCATGTACATCCTTGGTTAACCCTCAGTGTCGTCGTCACCGCGCTGGGGTACACCACAACAGCAACCATCCATAGGCTGGCCATTCATGTACATCCTTGGTTAACCCTCAGTGTCGTCGTCACCGCGCTGGGGTACACCACAACAGCAACCATCCATAGGCTGGCCATTCATGTCCTTGGTAAACCCTCAGTGTCGTCGTCACCGCGCTGTGGTACACCACAACAGCAACCATCCATCGATCGGATGGCTAAGCCTAAATTTCCGACAAAACTAGATCATACTGATCAAAATCTGACCTCAAAATTAGAATTGAACTGAAAAAGACCGAATGTCCACACCCAAGGACACCACTCGCCCGAGTGTTGGGACAAAACTGATAACGATATGCCTGATGCAGGATATAAAATCTGTCGGGCTAACGGCTCGTCAAAGAAATCTAACGTGCGAAGAAAAAAGAATGTACCTATCTGTGTGGTTACAAAAGTCCAAAACCCGCGGGCTGCTCCCCGCTGACCCCCAGAGGGCGCAGCCCCTGTCGAGCGGGAAGCCTGATACGGTTGTGAGGTTAAGCAGGCTTGTGCAGGACGTGACGATTCCTTGGGTGAGCCCAGAACCAGAGCGCCATGTGTCGGCTCTGCATACATGGATGCCTCCTTGGATGGCGGGGAATGCCCAAGATCTGCCCCTGCCTTCCCTTGAGGGCTAACTGTTCCACAGGGGGCCGACCCAAAGGGGTATTCCGGGGGCAATACCTGCGGCAAAGGAGACGAAGTGGACACCACACAAATCAGGCAACGTCTCGACCCACACAAAACAATGGCCACAGTCACCCTAGAAATAGGCCTGACGTCTTCCTTCGAAGTCGGCGTACAGCTGCCCATGAGGCAGGGAAATAAAAAACGGTTGTACACGCAAAAATCAGGCCCAGGTGAAAGCCAAAAGTCCAAGCGGACGATTACCTGACCTTCCACTGGAATTCACAGCCGGTGTTCGATGAAAAAAAAAAAAAAAAAAAAAGGGCAAACTTAGTGTTATATAAAGTTAGTTTTTGTGTGAAAATACTAATTGTGTTCAGAAGTCATTTTTCTTTACCCAAAAAAAATAAAAAAAATAATGGTGCTCTGTTATAACCTGAAAGTTTCTTTGGAACGAGATCTAGATCTAACGGACAATCTGTATTTATATTTAATTTCTACATTAGTAAGTGGTTTATGTTCATTTATTATTCATTTTAGATATATTTTACTGAGTTTTTCGTGAGTGCTATGGTGATAAGCGGAAACATTATTATTTCATTGTACTAATTACTAATTAAATTAGTAATTAAACTAATTTCTCGGCTCTCCTGTAAACTACGGCCGCATTTTTTACGCAGCTTTTCTAATATTATTCCTTAACAATCTCTGGCCACATTGATGTATAATAATATGTGTACGCTGCGAGGCAGTTTAAATAGTATGGTCTGTTTTAACGTGTTATACTCGTGACGTTCCAAAATTGCATTACCACCCACACTGGTGCTAAACCCCCTGGGACTCGAAGAGTAAAGTTCCCGTAAAGTACGGTAAAGTTCGTCTTATGATTTAAGTTGAGTGTGTTATAGCTTTCTTTATACCGATTTTACAGCACAACAGTAGGTAAACAGCCGTCCGGAGTGCACTAAGTAAACAAGTGTTAGTTTCTACCTTAAATAAGTAGTTTCTTCGAATTGGTTAACTTTTGCGCATGTTTACAACCAAGGTTGAATGAAGTTATTTAACTGACCAAATCGATAGCAGACGCCAGATTCTCAGAGATCGCTGGGTTTATTTCCGTCCAGAGGAAGTACGTCACACGGCCTTCTTCTCTATTAGAAATTAGAGAACGTATCACTACTTCTCCTCTTCTTTTTCAATTTGTTAAATGAAGAATAAGAGGGGCGGGGGTGGGATTTACTGAGAAGCACTCCAAAGGACATGACACCGTATCCCTGTCTAGACTGATGGACACAGATAGGGGTGAAGCCTAGAGCTGCAAGAAATGAACATTTCACTAAGGCGACAAAACGTCTAAAAGCGTTGCAACTATATTCTTCTTGAATACACTGAACTTGTTCAACTCAGAAGAATTTATATTTATTGATAGATCGAATGATCGCCCACGCAAGTCGGCAAGGCACCTGATGATGATGATGATATTTAAATATATCTAAAATGATCAAGGTAACCATTATTCTGTCTTTATATATATTAACACTTCATATGCTAACCGCTGTTCTTATTTTATCCGTCACTGTAGTTCTCTAAATCCACTTACTCCCAGCATGTATTCTATAGTCATATAGGCGCTTTCTTAATATCCTACCCCTAACAGGGGAAATCCACAGATCACGGGACAGTCAAATATTTCAGGAGGTGGTAGATAGGCTACATGCAGTCATGAGACCTAGGCTGCATGTACTCGTGGAACCTAGGCTGCACTCTCTTGTGGGACGTAGATGGGTTGGGGTTAGGGCCAGTTCTAGATGTTTTAGGGTTGTTAACAGCATTTTTTAAAAACCCGGGAAACCCAGTCTTACCACCCTCTATAATGTTGGACTTTTATGAGACGTCATCTGGAGTAGGGTATAATAAAAGAACCGCCAGAGGCTTTTTGCCCATGCTCCTGTATCCTCTAAGTGTAGACTGTAACCTCCCAAGCTGTTCAAAGTCACCAGTGAGTCAGTGCGCTCCAATTTTAGCAAGAACCTTGCCCGTCGGCAGATAATCTTAAGCATTTTAATAATTTTACAGGCAGTGATCTTAGAATAGTCTTTGGCTTCGGCAGCAGCAGTAGGCTGCTGTTGTAGCCAGTCAGTATTTGATCTGACCACCTTGAATGATGTCCTTGTATTACAGCTACTAGGACAAGAAAGCGCTGTAAATTATGAATGCAGACTGAAGATGATGAGAGGAGTGTACGACAAGCCCCGTAGAAACAACAATCCGTGAGGGCAGATGATCAGTAAGCTGCTGCTGCCCAGCTAGAACCAGTTCTAGCCGATGCTGAACCAATTGACGAGTCAGTGAACTTGTAATTGTCCATTGTCAGAGGTCATCTCGCATTGACCAGCAGCAGGGTTGAGAAGGCAGAAGATGGAAATCAGTGACAGACAGTTGTTTCTTTGATGCCCGCCACACACACACACCCATTGTTACATGACAAATGTTCGAAACAAAAATATAGCCATACATCTATAGTTCATATGTTCAGTTCCAGTTGTTAGTACTTTGCTATTTTGTTTCGTTTATTATCACTATGTTTCTTTTATAACAGTTACTGAATGCTGTCACAATCATGCCTCATCTAAAAGTGTTCCAACTATATTCTTCTTGAATACACTGAACTTGTTCAACTCAGAAGAATTTATATTTAGTGTTAAATGAGAAACATAGCGAGCTTCATTTGTGAAAGACCATTAAATATTACCCCCCCCCCCCCCCCCCCCCACAAAAAAAGTTAATA